GGGGAACTGAGAGCGGACACCGCCGCCTCGGGGGAACTGAGAGCGGACACCGCCGCCTCGGGGGAACTGAGAGCGGACACCGCCGCCTCGGGGGAACTGAGAGCGGACACCGCCGCCTCGGGGGAACTGCGAGCGGACACCGCCATTTCAGGAGGCTTGTGAGCGGGCACCGCTGTCTCGGAGGAACAGTGTGTGGGCGCCGGCGCTTCTGGAGCTTTGTGAGCGTACGCTGCCTCCTCGGGGGAACTGTGAACGGACACCGCCGCCTCGGGGGAACTGTGAGCGGGCTCCGCAGCTTCGGGAAGGCCTAAAACAAGCTCTGCCCCCTCAAAGGAAACATCAGCGGCCTCCGCCGCTTCGGGAAGGCCTGAAGCGAGCCCCGCCGCCTCAGAGGGATCATCAGCGGGTTCTGTAGCTTCATGAAGGCCAGAAGCGAGCCCCGCCGCCTCATAGGAAACATCAGCGGGCTCCGCAGCTTCGGGAAGGCCTAAAACAAGCTCTGCCCCCTCGAAGGAAACATCAGCGGCCTCCGCCGCTTCAGGAAGGCCTGAAGCGAGCTCCGCTGCCTCGGAGGGATCATCAGCGGGCTCCGCAGCTTCGTGAAGGCCAGAAGCGAGCCCCGCCACCTCAGAGGGAACATTAGCGGACTCCGCTGCTTCGGGAAGGCCAGAAGCGAGCCCCGCCACCTCAGAGGGAACATTAGCGGACTCCGCTGCTTCGGGAAGGCCAGAAGCGAGCCCCGCCACCTCAGAGGGAACATTAGCGGACTCCGCTGCTTCGGGAAGGCCAGAAGCGAGCCCCGCCGCCTCAGAGGGAACATCAGCGGGCTCCGCTGCTTCGGGAAGGCCAGAAGCGAGCCCCGCCACCACAGAGGGAACATCAGCGGGCTCCGCTGCTTCGGGAAGGCCTGACACGAGCTCTGCTGCCTCGGAGGGATCATCAGCGGGCTGCGCCGCTTCGGGAAGGCCAGAAGCGAGCCCCGCCGCCTTGAATGGAACATCAGTGGGCTCCACCACTTCGGGAAGGCCGGAAGCAAGCCCCGCGTCCTCGGGGGAACTGTGAGCAGACACCACCGCTTCTGGAGCTTTGTGAGCGGACACCGCTGCCTCAGGGGAACTGTGAGCAGACACTGCCACCTCAGGGGCTCTGCGAGCAGACCACGCCGCTCGCACCGACATCAGCGGAGGTCCCTGCATGCTGCGTATCAGCCCACGACGCTCCAGGAACGGGCGTGAGGTACTGGGTGCGGCATACGAGGCCTCTGACGACCCTTGGATTGCCGCTTCGGGAGAACTGTGAGCAGGCTCCGCAGCTAACTCCACCCTGATGGCTGAGCTGCTCAACTGCAGAGCCAGGTTGATGTAGTCCTCCAGCGCCTCCTCGGGGTGCCAGAATGGCATAAGGGATTTGAAGGGCTCGGTTAGGCCACCCCAGAAAAAGACCATTAAACAGGTCCTCTCCGTAGCCGACTGGCGAGCCACTCCCACGAAGTCCCTGGCGTAATCCTCAATGCACCGGTCTCACTGGCGGACGTTGAGGAACTTTCCTGCTGGACCCATGTTTGGCTGATTATTCTGTCACGGCGCGGTAAGGGAACACACCGTGTAAACAAGGGTCTGGGTCCAAATGCAGGTCTTTATTAACTTAAGGGAAAACAAAGTAAAAACCAAAACGGAAACACAAACAGATATCAGAATCTGACAACAGGCTCAGAACAGAAACAGGAATATGACACAACTAAGGCCACTTAGTGCTTGCATCAGTCCACATATCAACAACTAATAATCAGCCCAGAGAGGCGTAGGGAAGGAGTATAAATAGCCATCAGGATGGGCAACAGCTGTGTGAGTGTGAGTAGGTGAACAGGTGTGTGGAGTCAAGGTAAAGGAGTCCGGGAGGATGGGAAATGGCGACCTCTGGCGGTGAGAGGGAGAAACACCAGACCCAGACCCCTGACAGGCCTATGGTGAGAAGATGACTATTCGTCGATGTCTTGCTATGGAGGGAGTGTTTATGCAAATGTTTGTGCCCGGGAGATGCCATCTTGCACCTCAGATCCGAAACGAGCTTGATTAAATAAATGATTTGTTTATAATGAGGAGGATGTTTTAAGCTATGAAACTTGCATGATGTTTTAATGGTACAAAGACATAAAGATCAAGATCAAGGCAAATTTGATTTCTCATGTCACGACCCCTTTAATATAACTTTAAACTATAAAACATTTTCATTTAATTGTAAATAAGATGCATGCAATTAAGTATCTGAAAACATTACATTTGTTTCACACTTAAGTATTTTCTTTTAAATGATATTATTTCTGTGATAAGTAGCCTTTTGAAAGTATGCTAAAGAAAATTATTTTTTTTCACAAGGGTAGGCTTTAATAATTTAAAGCAAATAAAGATGTCTGGAGCTCTTTGGAGGTTCAGACCTGACCTGATCAGTTGGTTGCATGGCTGATATTTTAGGTGGTGGCCTGGTGGGGTACCTCAGCATGGGAGATAAATGCATGTGGTGTGCAGTAGCAGCATTCTCTCTGCGTGTGTGTAGACAGATACACTTAAGACTGAGAAAGGCCTTAAGGTGACAACTTGAATCACTTATGTTAGCTGCTAGTTTAATACAGGGAAACCACCACAATGTCACTCTTGTGTTCTCTACTCTGAGGACTTGGCAATCTTTGTACACTATCACATTTTGAATATCACAAACTACAAATTACAATAGGTTTGATTTCAATGTCAAATGATTAAAAATGTAATAATTCATGGACTTAATACATAGACTTAGAATAATAACATTAAACAGTTCTGATCCTTTGATTGGTTGAGCAGTGTACCAAGAGTGCTGATATACAATGGTGATTTAAGTTTCACTGTTTTTATCACTACGCATGTCTGTGTTCCAGACAGACTGTCAGCTTGTGCATCAGTGATGGTGATTCGTTCAAAACACTAATTCAGTCAGGAGCTAAATTAGTCATTGAACTATTCATTCATCCGTTTTGTAAACTTTTGTAACTACTCATTCATCCGTTCCATTATGGCTGAATCACTGAACCATTCATTCAAATGATTATTTCAAAAACGCTGATTCATTCAGAAATGAGTCAATTGACTGTCTGACTGAGTGAGTCATTGAACGATTCACTTAGCTGATTTGTTCAAAAAAGTAATTCAGAAACAAACAAGTGACTGTCTGTGTCCGAAAGCAGAGTAGGTACTTCTTTGAGCAAGTAATAAAATATTATATATATTATATATCTTTATCAGGGGTGTCCAATCCTGCTTCTGGAAGGCCAACATCCTGCAAATTTGAACACTGAAGGTGTTTCACACCGCAAGCTTGAGCTTTGCGTCAGTTTTGCGTCAACTTCACATCAGCGTAACTACATCGTCACTGCAGCTGCAGACTCGCGAGAGTATTCACACTGGAAGTGTTTGTACAGCATCACAGCAGCGGCTTCAAAGCTACATACTTCTTTACAAAGACTGCTTTTAGAAATTGGCCATTTATAAACTTGATAGTCTTGAAAGTTTGTTAACAGGGGGATTCACGTTAACATGTGGATTTGCATGTAAATGGTAAACAACAAACACAACCAAGAAAACAGCTCCGATCATGTAGTTCCAGTCATACTTTGATATAGAATGTGCGGTTTATAATGTTTTTTAAAAATTTTTTTTATAATACACCATTCACATACACTTTCACCCAAACTGAATAATTAAAAACACGTTCAAAAGGGTAAATCTTCTATACATATTTGATTTTTCTTTTTTGACACACTCCAATTCTTGTTAAAACACACAAGACATGCTTATTCTTTGCATTTTAACACTTTTTGTGTGAAATCATATTTGTTTTGTTCATCAAAAGTGAGCTTTCATTTTAATTGAGCATGAACAGTGCAGCAAAAACAGACTCGGCGTCGAAACATTCCTTCACTGCTGCTCATGCAACGACCTGCTTGATGCTCTTATTTGTCACTGAAAAACATATACACTGCTCACATTTGCGGTGTGAAAGCAGCTGAACAAACCAGAAACAGGTTTGAACAACCCTGTTCTATATATTATAAATGAGTGTAGTACAGTATGAATGTAATCCAGACGTACCAATTTTTCCTGTTGTCATGTTAACATGTATTTAAATCTAGCTACTGCATTCAACTGATTCATTGAAAATCTATGTCCTTCTTACATAAACAACTTTTTATAATTCCCCTCAGCCATTGCTAGTAATGCAAGGTTTTTGAATTAGTAACAGAAGCTTGAATTCATCTAGCAACTAGAGTTTATGAAAGGTTCAAATCACATTGTTCGCATTCGCTGAAGCAAAAGTTATTTTCTTTCCAATATTAAAATGCTAATTATACAGGATTTTAATGACTTGAGTGTAAGTAAATGTTGACAGAAATCTCATTTTAACCACCTTGTGTAAAGTAATGTAATCTCTGAAAAAAGATTGAAGTTTTTTTCTGCCAGATAAATGCTGTCATGAACCTCTAGATGGTGCAGGCTGATGATATTCACAGTGTTAAACTACTTGGCACAAGCTGATTGGTTCATGTTGCATACGCATGCCAGTAAGCTTACTGCTTTACATTTTAATGGCTGGTTAGCATTCTCTAGAGCATTTTGCAGCGCACTTTCAGAGTTTCTCTGAAATCCTTCACCTTCCCCAGCTCCACCTGTATAGATCTGCTACAGGTTATTATATATGCTACTTGTACAGCAGCAGTATGTCTTAAATACTCAAAGCCCCATATGCATTGGCAGTAGCAAGTTCCTGTACTTGCTTTTCAACAGCAGCAATAATCTACAACAACAGCAATATCCAGCAGCATGGCAGATCTATTCCGCCAAGACCAAGCAGATTAACATTGTCATATCTATTACCCTGCTGAAATCTTTTGAGAGTTGTCATGATATAAATAAAGTTGAGACTAATCTAGTAAAACTTCTCACATTTAATGTCCTTCTCTTTATTTCCAGACCAGCAGTATTCCCCCTGGTCACCATCCCGAGATTTCAATGAGGATAGTAGCCTCACTCCACCCAGGAACATGAAGGGCTTATCAGGTGGTCGTGCACCGCACCAGATTCCCACACTGCCCCCGTGTGGACTGGCGGAGTGCGAGCATCTCCATGACCTGCATGGCATGCATGTGTCCGATCTGCGCCACTCCTACCTGCTCAGCCCCACGGAGACCTGCGCCATGGACTTCCATCATCGTCTTTCCCCCCGCAGCTCCATTCACTCCGACTGCATGATCATGTCACCCGTGGCGCTAACTTCCACTGCCCCCGCCGACCACGTCTCCAGCAGCACCTTTCCCAGAATGCACTACAGTTCGCTGTACTATGACCCAGCTGCCCGGGAAGACTGTGCAGCCATCACCACCTCAGCCACATCCGCCGCCGTCGCTGCTGCAACATCTGCCTCTCACCACGTCAGCAGCAAAAGCAACCGCATCCCCGCAAACCTGCTGGACCAGTTCGAAAAACAGCTTCCACTTCATCGTGACGGCTTCCACACACTCCAGTACCAACGCACATCTGCCGCCACTGGTGGGGAGCAGCGGAGTGAGAGCCCCGGTCGCATCCGACACCTGGTGCACTCCGTCCAAAAGCTCTTCACCAAGTCCCACTCACTGGAGGGATCGTCCAAGATGAATGGCACCAAAGGTGACAGTGGAGGTGGGGGAAGCCATCACCATCACCACGGCAATCATCACTCATCCAAGCATGGCAGCAGGCGCAGTAAAAGCAAGGAGCGCAGGCACCGGTCAGGGACAGGGGGCTGGTGGAGCTCGGATGACAACCTAGACAGCGACAGCACCTACCGCACGGCCAGCGCCTTGAGCCGCCACCATCATGGTCACAGTTTCCCAGAATCCATGCACACTCACTTTGGAGACCACTCTCTCAAAACCTCCAAAAGCAACAATGACGTCAAGTGTTCGGCCTGCGAGGGCTTGTCCATGGCACCTGAGGGGAAGTTCATGAAGAGGAGTTCCTGGTCAACACTCACCGTCAGCCAGGCCAAAGAGGCCTACCGAAAGTCCTCCCTAAACCTAGAGAAGCCCATGATGCATCAGGACCTTAAACCATCATTCCGGTCCTCACACTACCTACAGGTGAGTCATGGCTTTCTTAAACATATCCACTTCTATCTTTGAGAAGATGATATGATGGTGCCCCAAATGCCTTTCAGAAATGAACCAGTAGTTATATGATGGGAAAGATGAACAGTTGGTTTAATGGTTTCCTTTTATATGACAGTGTCTTCATGCAGGAAATTAGTAATTTTATTGCAGGTGTTCAACGTGCGTATATCTGTTTGATTTTGGCGTAGATTTTGACAAAACATTCCCTTAGACATTGAATAATTGACAAGATGGCAATATGTTCATTTTATTAATATGTAATGAAAATCGTTTTGTGATATCCTACCTGTAGATCAAACAGTAGAGCATGGTGCAAGCAATGCCAAGGTCTTGATTTCAGTTCTGAGGAAAAGTCAGAACTGATAAAAACCTACCCTGAAATACTGGATTTTGGACCAAGGTGCGGCTACCCATAAACCTAATTAACTAAATGCTACTGAAGTGTAATTTCATGTATTTTTATTGCATTTTAGCATTGTTGCAAGGGGTATAAGCAGTTATTAGTGTAAAATCTTACACTCTCTTTTAGAGTCACTTTTCTCTATCAGGTGAACCACTGTCCTGGCGGAGCAACAGTTCAATGAGAATCCAGGCAAGTTAGTTAAATTCAGTATGTTTATGGCAAATTGCCTGAAAAACAACATATTTTGTTAAATGGCACATGTGTTTGAAAGTAACTCTATTGAGTACTGTGGTTTGTTACCAATGGTCAGACCAATTCAAGACCATTGACACACAGACTGTTTCGTCACTAGTTTAATCCCAAGGGGTGATTCATGAACTGGAGAATTACAGGGATTTCCAATCATGATGGTGCCCTTGAGCAAAGGACTTTACCCCAGGTTACTCCACGGTGATTGTTCTTATAATAAAAGTAGTCTTTGAATAAGACACACATAAACGTTTAATTTATACTGGCCCCTTAGATGATAAATCTACTGGTTTTGAGTGTCTCTAAGGAGAAACTGTCTGTTTCGTCCACTTTCTTTTTCTGAAACAGATGTGTGTGGGGCAAAATGCAATTGAATCCAGTAATTGATTATCTAGTGTTATTGTTTCAGGCCTGTGGGAACCATTGATGCCTAAGAAGGAGGGGTCAATACAAACAGGATCCGTGATGTAGTGTAAGACTGTGCCGTTAAAGCATGTAGTAGTGAACTTTTATTTGATAGATGGCTAGATGTTTGAAGCATTTTTCATCAAATAAATGATATGATATATATTTCATAAGTTTTGTTTTGTGCAATAATGCCAGAAGAAATAATTAGAGGAAATAATTAACTGCACTGGCATATACATTTTTCTGTTTTGTCGGTAAGTGCCAAAAGAGGGACTTTTATGTTGACAGTGCAGGAGCTTTTATTTTGACAGTGCAAAAAATAGCAGCATGTTTTAACAGTCAAAAATATCCATATTAGTACACCCCTGATTTCATTTAGGATATTTTAACATATCTGTCAAAACTGATCTGATTAAATCAGTTGTCGTACTGGAATGTAAGGACAATTTGAGTGCATTGCATTGTGGTATATATTATTTCACACATTGTGCTTTGTTGAATACTGCCTCTGATTCTCATTTTGAATTATGGCATGAAGCACACATAGGTCATGCTGACTGCTACACAATTATTCAACTAATAAGTTCCTGACATCTAACTGACATCTTCCTCCTTGAAGGTTAATTATGGCATAAGTACCAGTGGTCGCCTTGTTCTGAGGAGCTACTTTGTAAAAATCATCAGCACATACAGCATTGTCATGTTTGCATAGGAAAAAATTAAGCCTGTCTTCTTGCTGACCTTATTAGAGACTGTCAGTTCTAACGAGAAATGACAGTCTGGCTGAGTTGTAAGTGACATGAAACTGGATACACTCACTAATTAACCATTCAGGAATAACCGTGAACTTCAAATTTGATTTCATTATAAGTCAGCTGTGTTCCAGTGTGCTTAACCAGATAGATGTGTCTTACATGCATGGTTTGTAACCGTTTAATATGAAAACCTGTAAAGGTTAGGCTTTGTGGGAATTTAAATTAAGCTGATAAGTAAGAAATGTCCAGGCAAGCTGTGTCAGATGTTTCTTCTAAAATCCTTCTTTCCCATTGTCTAGCCTCGTAGGATGTATATGAATAGACAATTTTGGACAAGTAGTTGGTAGATAATGTATAAGCTATAAAATGCTTAAGTAAATGTATAAGCTATGAAATAAATGTATATACCACACTTAATATAAGCCTTGATATTGTGTTTTTAATACACATTCAGTTTATTAGTATCACAAAATTCTTACCTGTTTCATTTATGTATGCCTGACAAATATAGATCACATAATCAGATAAACTAAAAAATCAAGTTTATTAGTTTATTTTAAAACTGTGTAATCAAATAGATTTCTGGAACTAGAATCCACTGCCCAATTTTCAAAGTTATCAAGACAGTTTCATTAAGTTACTAGAACTTTTATTATTATTATTATTGGTTACACTTTAAAATAACTTTCATTAATAAATCATTAACAAACATTATATAATGCTAGAATAGCTAATAGCTAGAAACATGAGAGTTTGCTTGACTATGTTTACTAATATACTTCTACAGATCATTGTTTCATGTAAATTGAAATGCTTACAAATGTACTTAAGCTTTCAAATTCTGCACTTCTTGAAAATCTACACATGATTTTAGGATATGTTATACAATTATTAAAAGCTTTTGTTAATGTACAACACTTTTGCTGCTATTGAGGTGTGATACGGGTTAAGTTAAATAGGGTTAAATTCAGGTAATTTGGGACACAATTTGGCATTGAGATAACTACTTAGTAAAAAGTAATAATGATTAGTAAACGTTTATAAACATTTACAATCGATGAATAGTTTCCACTTTAGACTGAGTACTGCAAAACATGATAATTAGTTGATTAGTTAAGATGCGTAAATAGTAGAAGTCTACACAACAAATGAAGGCCAAACATATGACCTTTACAAACTGTGATTATGAGTTCATGAATAATATGTTAACATGAAGAGTTTGTGAAGTGACTAAAAATGACTAATAAAGCTATTTTTTCACAACATTTGTAAATGTAAAAAGAGCATTAGGTAATCTATGAAGTGAAGTTTAATGACATTTGTTAGTACATTAACAAATACACTTTTAATCATTGTATAAATTCTGTTAAAATCACTTGTAGATTTTTTAAATTGTACAAAGACTTAAACTACTTCAGTCTGTGTGCATTGAATTTATTTAATACATGAGTTTCACAATTTGAGTTGAATTACTGAAATAAATGAACTTTTCCACGACATTCTAATTTATTGAGATGCACCTGTATAAACTGAAAGTTAAGTGACATAATTTTTGAGTTTAATTTACACACTATTAAGTTAATTTGATGATCAAAATGTTTATGTCAACAGAACACATCAATAATATTTGAAACTTCAAAGGTTTAATTAAATCAATAAATTAGAATTTTTAACTTGCAACCATGCATTTATTTAAGTTGGTAACGGGTCTGACTCATTCTTTAGAGTGTGGATGGGAAGGCAATTCAAATACATAAATCTTAAAATCAGGCCTAAATATATTTGAGTGTGGTTTGATCTTGGAAGCATACTGTTTGATTTATTTGTTTTGTTATCTTGGCAAATCTGAGCACAGTTTGGGACATTATTCAGATCTGTTTTGAAACTCAAGATTACCAGGGCCTTCCTCTCAGCTGTACTGAAAAGACCAGTTTGGCATGAATTTCCATGCTGGTTTGCTGGTGGAGCAGCACAGCCATGTTATTCACCACCAAAATGTAGTCTGTTTTTGGTAAAGCTGATTTACCAAGGAAATCTGGGAAAGAGGAGTTCAAATGTCTTTAGCTAAACAGCCCCCTGATTACAGCCCCTCTGTGAAGTGGCACTCATTCATTTGAAACTTTATTTTGCAGTATTTGAAGATCTTAACTCCCTTATCAACTCTAACCCCTGGAGACATTTCTATCTCCCAGGAAATAGACTAAGCAAAAGGACTGAACTCAATCTGAATTTACAGTGATAGCGTGCAATCTCACACTGTGGAAACGTCTAAAAGTATTCTGCAGTCGTCATTTCAACATCTGATGGTTTTATCTCATTTAGTGGAGTTAAATCTCGATCTGCACTTCCTCACTGTCAGTGAATAATAAATGTTCATTTACAGTTTATGAGTGTGTTGTCTGTAGTGCCTCCTTGTGTTAGAATAATGTACTGAAACCCGGCTAACACTCGTCTGGAAGAAGATGAGAAGAAAATGAATGATATAAATGTCCAGTTAGAGATGTTCCCGTTTGTTCCTGTTTTACCAGATTTAAGGTTGATTTGTGTGATATACAGAGAAATGCTGAGGAATAGCAAATAGCTTTTATGCTTTTGAAATGGGAGATTCTGCTAATTGACTCATCAAAGCAGGTTTCTGTAGAGAGAATTGTGTCAGTCTTGAAATAATGAAATAAAACAAGAGCACACAGTGTGCTTAAGTTCTTTAAAATATATATATAAAAAGTGTACTTGCAGGTGATATTATATTAATGAAATAAAAGGCCACTTAAAGGGATAATTCACCCAAAAATTCACTCTATTGTGCTCAACAGAAAAAAAGAAAGAAAAAAAAGAAACTCATACCGGTTTAGAACAACTTATGACTAAATGATGACAGAATTTTTTTTTTTTGGGTGAACTATCCCTTTAAGTGGCCTTAAAGAGTGCAATTTTGTGACTATGCTTTATTTATTCATTCATTTATTTATTTATGACTTAAGTAGAATTTTAAAATTGCACTTTGTAATAATGTCACTTATTTTGATTTGTTTACTAAACTAAAACTAAAGCACATACTATAATATACTGTATTTGACTAAACTGCAATTACAAACAGGGCCGTTTGTAGCCAATTTGACGCCCTAGGCAAAATCCCTATTTCCCCCCCCAAATGATCTATATATATATATATTTATATATATAATTCTTTTCAGACACCAGTTGCTTGTCACATTCAAATTGGTTGTCATAGTAACGACAGTAATTTATGGAGATTCAGTGCACTGAGTTCCACAAATCTGGATGCATTATTTGTAAATTGACTGTTTTGCACAATTTAGTATCTGTAATATCATTGTGTTGCCACTAGATGCCTGCATAGCCCTATGTAACAATCCCTAGTGACTAAGACATTGCACATAATTTACACATAAATCACACATAAATTAATTTTATTACATTTTGATTTGGATACTATATACTATACTACTACATATTGTTTAGATATTATCAATGGCTACTTTTTTGTCATTATCTATTTTTTGTTCAATTTTTTTGTTGTTGTTTCTTGAAACATTGATTTAAAGTGTCAGTTATTGCATTATTATTTCAGTCAAACCTAGAAACCCCCTTCGTTACCCCAAACTACATATAAAAGCTTTATAAGTGGCATAAAAGTAACCAATGCAGCTACTTAATCATTTGCTACTCGTTAACGCGTTAACGTCCCCTTTAAATAATGTGACGCTCTGACCTCTACGACGCTGCTCCCATTAAGCGCTGTTGGAAGTGAATGAATTGAGCATTTCGACACCTCCGCAAGGATGCAATTAACTCGACTAAGCGGTCTAATAAAGGATGTATTGATCTTGTGAATTAGCGAATTTTACTATACAAATATTTTTTAATTGGATGTTAAAGTTTATATGGGAATATTACATGACACGCTGATCCTTTAACAATGCATTGGCGCAAAAAACGCACACCTTTTGGACAAATCTGCCACAAATATTTGGACAAATGTGCCACAAAAGTGCCACAAATACTGCCTAAACAAAATACTGATTTTGTGCACTTTATTTACTGTACCAATATTTTAAATTGGCCTTTGAACTTAGCTTTATTGCATGGCAAAAAAAAGTGTTACCTTGCCAAAGCACTGACAGAGCCCACTGATCTAATGGCGTTGTTGAGCGCTCCAAATGCAAACTTTGCATGCAACAATCAGGCAGCAATTGACAGCACTCTGATCTAGTGGCATACAGGCATCGTCAGATTGACAGTACTCTAGCCCAATAATGTTGGGGGATCCAGTGGGGGCGGCAGTCATATTTCAGGGTGACCGTGCCACTCTTTATCACAACCCTGCTAAAAGTGCCAGTACGTGCGCTCATTGGCGCCCCTTCAGCTGGTGGCGCCCTAGGCGACCGCCTAGCTCGCCTATGCCTAGAAACGGCCCTGATTACAAATGTGTAATTACAAGTAAATTAAAATGCATGACATACACGTTTCAATACAAATTACATCAAAGTATATTTTTATTCACCATAAATGCTTGTCAGTACATTTGAACAATATTTCAAAGACAGCAGAAGTATTACATATAAAGATGTAATGAAGTCCTTCTTAAGTAGCACAGAAAAGCACTCTTATGTTTAACTATTTACATTTAATATGAATTTAAACTATACATTTTTATTTAATTGTAAGTAACATGCAATTAAGTGTCCAAACATTATATTCAGTTCGTACTTAAGTAAATTATTTTTAAAGTATTATTTCCCTAATAAGTACTCTTTTTAAACATATGCTAAATTGTACTTTTTTTCACAAGGCATGGCAACCCTGTGGATTACGACTAATTTAATACATTCCCTTTCTTTGTAGTTCAGTGTTAAAAGTTTAATGTTTGATGCTGACTTTTTAAGAACTTAAAAGGCTCATATCATGAGGAATCTAATTTTCGTTCATCTTTTGAAATTAAAAAGCTTGATGTATTATGATAATATACTGCAATTTTCAGAACTTCCTCCCTAGTCTATTGGAACTAAACTGCAAAAATGACTGTGAACTTCACACATAGACATCACACAGATAAATGCATCAACACATCGTTGTCCAAAAAGTGACCGGTGGGAGAGGGTGGGAAATTGTAATGGTAAAAAAAAAAAATGCTAATATTATAAATTGATAAAAAAAAAAATACAGAGTATAAAAAGTATGACATGACTCTGTTGAAAGTGAAATGAAACATAGACTTATGAAAAGAGATATTATAAAACAATTTGAGGTAGAACAAGGAACCTGTTGTCTGTCACACTCTGCTGAAGAGATGAATTGGTGCTTTTCTCATGACGCCGTCTAGACATTGTCTTTGATTTTATCACAGTGATGTGCTTCAGAATCCAGTCAAGACACAGAGAACATTAAACTGCCAGCTGAATTAGTCTGACTCTGTTTAAAGGAACATTCTGGGTTCCATATCAGTCGACCACATTTGTGGCCTTATGTTGATTACCACAAAAATTATTTTGACTCACCTGTTCAAACCTTTGGCAGAGCTCTTGTTTTTAAGAACAAAAAAATTGAGGTTACGGTGAGTCACTCATAATGAAAGGGAATTGGACCTTAAGAGCAGAAATGTGAAGCCTATAATATTATTTAAGTACATTTAATTATTCTGTTAAAAACTTCTGTATTATTTGATCTGTAAAGCTGTTTAAGTAATCATTTTAACAGTTGATTTAGGCCTTTAGGCCTGTATTTTAGCTGTAAAATTGGATATAAAAGGTTTTTATTTTTCACCTTAAAATCATTTTACCCACATATTGTTTACATCTTATGTCTGTACTGCTGTGTTGAAACAGTCAAACTATCTTTGAGTTCATTTAGATTAAAAAAGTGACCAAAATGTCCAAATGGATGAATTGTTTATTCTATCCATTTCAACCAATTTGACCCAGTTAGGGCGATTTGTGACCTGATTGTGAACATGATAGGTTAGCATTATAACATTGACAGGCTGATCAGCCCAACTCAACAACTTGGAAGCATTGCCTCCTCTCATGTGACTTTGGGTTGTATTTTGCGGTTACAGTGTTCACAGTCATGCCGAAACACCACCCTTTGACACTTTTTGACCTTTGAAAATTATGGAAAATTCACATCTATTTAATACTTTTTTTATGGATAAACATCCATTGACGTGCTTGCTGGCTTACATCCAGAAATTATAATGCACTTTTAAAGGATGTAGGCGTATCTACCCACCATAATCCAGTCTGATGAAATGCTCTGTACTTACATCTACTTTTAAAAGTGATTTCATGCAGATATACAGTAGGCAGAATTTTAATGTAAATGATTCTATAGGACCATATGAGATGGAGTTCTACTGGCGATAGAGTCTACTACTCTAGTAATAATAATCTTGGGTAATCATGGCTAAATGGTGTTGATAGGCATAACAGTTGATAGGCATAACATAACATTTGCTACATTTGTTCACAGTATTCACAAATGTAGCAAATTATTTTACATCCATCCACTAGAACAAGTTTTCCCAATGGGGGTTCATGAGGGAACTTCAGAGGGTTCACATAAGAATGTAAAACTAAAATACATCAATGCGGCTCTAAAAAGAACTCTTGAAAATTTTGTTGTGATAAAGCTTAGAGTGAAATCAAATTAAATAACTGTTACATGTTCAGCTTACAGTGTTTCCAGCGTCTGAGTGCCTCGCTTCCCAGTGAATGCTGCTTCTCGTGAACTCCATGTGAGTTTAACCTACATTTTTGAGAACGCAGTGTGCTCCAGGTTCATCTTATTTATGCATTTGCAAAATTTCCAATGTTTCTGTGGATATAAGTTTACAGCATTTCACCAGTATTCCACCAAAATAAAAGTGTTGACCCAAAAATTAAGATTCTGTCATTAATTACTCACCCTCATGTTGTTCCAAACCTTTAAGACCTTCGTTCATCTTCGGAACACAGATTAAGATATTTTTTATGAAATCCAGGGGCTTTTCATAGACAGCTACGCAACTAACACAATCGAGGCCCAGAAAGGTAGTAAGGACATCATTAAAATAGTCCATGTCACATCAGTGGTTTAACCGTAATTTTATGAAGCTACGAGAATACATTGTATCAGCAAAGAAAACAAAAATAATGACTTTATTCAACAATTCTTCTCTTCCGTGTCATTCTCCACTGCATTCTAGAGAGTACATGCGTGTGATGCTGCTGACGCAGGAGCTGTTCCTTGTTTACAAGCAGAGGAATGCCCATCGTTGTGATACTCTCGTGAATGGCAGCGGAGACTGACCAGAAGAAAAGAAATCGTTGAATAAAGTCACTATTTTTGTTTTCTATGTGCACAAAAAATATTCTTGTAGTTTCATAAAATTAAGGTTGAACCACTGATGTCACATGGAGTATTTTAACGATGTCCTTACTACCTTTCTGGGCCTTGAATATGGTAATAACATCTATGTCTATGGGAGGGTCAGAGAGCTCTCGGATTTCATCAAAAATATCTTAATTTGTGTTCAGAAGATGAACGGAGGTCTTACGGGTTTGGAACGACATGAGGGTGAGTAATTAATGACAGAATTTTCATTTTTGGGTGAACTAAATCATAATGACATATCAAAATGACATAAATCTTAGCAGAGGCGGACAGTAGTGAAGTATTTTTACTTTACTCAAGTAAATTTAAAAACTATCTGTAGTTTATCAGAGTGTTTTTCTTTGGAAAACTTTACTTCACTACATTCCAAAGCATAATGTCATACTTTTTACTGCAAAATATATATATATATATATATATACTCCTTATAATTATTCAGACACCAGATATAATTTTTTATATTTTTTTACTAGTGGGTGCAGGACACTATAGTTCATTTATGTAAGTGAGGATAGCAAAATAAAGTAAACTGTGACATTTTATACCCAAAAATTCTTCATACAGTGGGCTACCAGTAAAACTGATAAAAAATTTGGGACCAAACATTATTCAGACACTTTGACCTGACCAAGTTTTGCTTAAGTGCTTTTTTCTTTAATTGCTAATGCTACCTTTTTACACCACAGACTGAACAAAATTAAGCATTGCTTAGTAATTGGTTGACCTAAATTGCTATTATCTAATTGTGTAGTTAAATTTAACAGCTGACAGGTATTCAACGTAATTAATTCTCAAAGTTATCTGACATTATCAAGATTAATTTGTTTTGACACAGTTTAACTTTGAGTTCTTGTTGTATTTTATGACCATTTTCTACCAACATCAGAGAGCCATAAACATGCAAATATGTCCTTAATTATTATA